ACGCGCGAGCGACGGCTGTAATTTGCGTGTCGCGGACGTTTGTCCAGTCAGGCGGGCTTTGAGGGCCCGCGATCGCTCACGTTAATGCCTTATCCGCGGCATTGTCGGCGATACGCCGCACGTGAATGCCGGAATCGATGAATGTATGCCGCGCATGCCGCTCGCGTCAGTGTCAAAGTTGAAGTATTGATAGGGAGGGAGAGGGAGAGGGGGATAGAGGGAGAGAGAGAGAGAGAGAGAGAGAGAGAGAGGGAGAGAAGGGAGGGGGGGAATACCATTGTCCTCATACGTCTCTATCGCGCTCGGCGAGCAGAAATTCGCCGACGCGGGTCGCATTGGCCAAACATCTCGCCACGGTGCAAAGTCCCGGCGATGTCCACGGTGCATCTCCCGCATCTCAACGCGGGTTATATCGCGTCCGCCTGATCCTCGGAATCCCAATTTCCCGACCGTCCGACCTAGCGTTCCAAAACGCGCGACGGCGACGACGGTGGCTGAGAGCCACTGGGTGCAATCTTGTACCAGCTGGGGTTTGCGGGGTCTTGGGAGACGCGACTCCGGCTCGTAACCTTCTCTCTCGAGGTCCTAGCCACGACGAGGGTGGAGTGAGGAATAGGGAAACAGGCACCACAGCCTGGTAGGCGGCCGGAGGGTGCGGGGGAGCAACGGCGGCGGCGGCGGCGGCGGCGGCGGTGGCGGCGGCAGGGGGTTGGTTGGTTGGTTGGTTGGTCGAGGTACGAGGTGTAGGGTGAGAGCGCGCGAGTGGCAGCGACGGTGGCGGCGACGGTGGCGGGTGGCAGGGGTGAGACGACAGAGAAAAGGGAAGAGGAGGAGAGAAGGAGCTGCGCAGAGAGAGGGAGAGAGAGAGAGAGAGAGAGAGAGAGAGAGAGAGAGAGAGAGAGAGAGAGAGAGAGAACGGAGGACGGTGTGGGTGGTCGGTGGCTTGGGATATATCCGTAAGGTTAGGGTGGTTGAGTCGAGACGAGGCGCCGTGGCGAAGGAGTCGCTCACTCACTTACCACCCTCATGGCTGCGACCGCCAACCCCAATAGCATGCACACGGCCAAAGCCGTCCCCCGCCGCTCGCCCTCTCCACCCGCAGCGCGTCTCTCACCCTCGAAAGAGCCACCCCTGACTGTACTTCGGTGCCTGCTGCTTGCCAAGTTGCTTGCCTGCCTGCCTGCCTGCCTGCCTGCGGACCAAGTCGTCCCTAACACTACAAAGTCTATATATCTACGGTATACCCGCAGCTCCTCCTACACTCCACTACTACCGCCACCCCCTCCTCCTCCACCTCTTGCTTCTCCTCGTCTTCCCCAGAGGTACGAACCCCCATATTGATCGTGGCACGAATCCTCTTTGTGGGAGAAAGGGTGGTATGGATAGCCGACGGGATAGGTGTAAGCAAACTTACGTGAATGGAAGGCGGGCGTGTGTATCGTTTCTTCGCGGAGGTATATATATACGTTTATATATATATACATATATATATATATATATATATATATACACACATCGCGGACGGGGTAAGGGTGGCTGTTGGCTGGCTGGGTGAAGCAGTGGACGAGAAAGAAACAGAGAGAGAGAGAGAGAGAGAGAGAGAGAGAGAGAGAGAGAGAGAGAGAGTAACAGGAAACTCTCCCGCGAAACGACATTGCGAGCTATCGACGTCTCCGCGGGGTGTGGGAGAAAAAGGATGCGCGCTTATCCCTCCGAAAGACGAGACTTCCGGATAACGTAGCTACTACTAGCTGCGCGCGGTATTGACTGCGGCAAAGGCGAGAGAGGTGTATGTTTCCGCATGATTTTCCGCGCGGACTGAAGCGTCCGACGTCAAGTCGCGCGACACCACTACCACGCGTGCGCGCGCTCGCTCGTGGTGGCCGGTCTTTTTGCCTTGTGACTATTATATAATTTGCTGGTTTCTCCTCTCTCTCTCTCTCTCTCTCTCTCTCTCTCTCTCTCTCTCTCTCTCCCGCTCCCCTTTTCCGCTTTACGACGCTCGAGTTCGATCGAGCGTGTGTTTGCACTCTCGTGAACAAACGTTTCGAGATCTCCCATCGTTGCGCTCGCGAGCAGAAATTATCGCGACTCGTCCAGTCATGCGACGCAACGACGTGGAAACGTCGTCGAAGCGAAGTCACCCTCCCTTTCTCTTCTCACTCTCGCTGATGAGAATCGACGAGGGACAGCCGCGCGATGTCTCTCCCCGTTTCTCTCGTCGTCGACGAAGAACGCCTTGCCAGCAAGTTCCGTCCTTAGAGTTGCACCATTTTTTTCGCGTGTCTCGTTTTATTTCACCTCCGAACACGGTAAATCTCCAATGTGCCGCTCGTCTCGTTTCGCACTATGTTTTTCCCATGATCGCGTCTGTGTATGCATGTGTATGTGTGTGTGTGTGTGAGTGTGAGTGTGATCGCTGTTTTCTCGTCTCGGACTGCCTTCTCGGCGACGCTCGTACGGCTTCGCCCGGATAAACAACGACCGACCGTTAGCTGGTAACGAGAAAGACTCTGCCTTCTATCCGGCGAGATCGGAGGAAAAGATCTCTCTTCCTCTCGTTCTCGCTTTCGCTCTCTCTCTCTCTCTCTCTCTCTCTCTCTCTCTCTCTCTCTCTGTCTCTCTTTCTTTTCTCCCTCGCTCTTCCTCGCTCCTTTCCGCAAGGAAACTCGAAAGAGGCACGTAATACGGCTCCTGGGGGATTCTTTTCTTGCGAGAATCTTTCATGACGTGGAGCGGAGCGCGTGTTTGCGGGACTTCCTGCCCCCTCGCCGCTCCTGCACGATCCGCTCCCCTCCGTTCTCCCCCCTCCCCTTGCCCCTCCCTCCGTCTATCCGGCCGGCTTTTGTCTTCGACTTCTTTTCCCTCGCGATGTCTCTCCCGTGTCGTGTCGCGCGAGACACGAGAATATCCGCCCGCTTGATTTTTCCGCGCCGCGGGATTTCATCGCCCGCGCCGACGTGTTCTCCCGGGCGATTTCCTCCCGATGCTCGCCGGATCTCCGACTCGAGATCCGCCGCGGCGATGATGTATACGCTCCGATGTTATCCCGCACGCTAATCGCCCGGAGATACACTCGCGAAGCGATCCCCTCGACCTCCTATTTTTATTTCCTTCCACTCGAGGTGTTTCCGAGAGCGGGCGTGTTCGCTCGGCATCGGGGGAGATGATACCGAAGCGTCGGAGTAATGGAGCGAGAGGGGGAGAGAGAGAGAGAGAGAGAGAGGTAGTGGTAGCGGTTGCGAGGGACGAAGGGTAATTGTGAAGAGGAGATTTACTTCGACATCGGGCTGCCGGCGACGGCGGCGGCGGCGGCGGCGGCGGTGGCGGTGAGGGGGTGCGACGGGGGTGGTTTACGGGGTTGCAAGATGGGGCGCGCAGTTATCGGACACAGGGCGAGGGCCAGCAGCGCGCGCGCGCGCGCGCTCACGACGGCGTGCGGACGGTGCACGAGGCGCGCTGTGTCGTGTGTAACGACGACGAAACTGCCGCTCGTAAAACTTCTCGGCCGCGATGATATCTCCCGTGACTCGCTGAGCGGAGAGCGCAGCCCGAAAGACTCGCCCGGACTCGGCGACATCTTGAACGACGCGTCTCCGAACGGCATTTTCGTTCCCCTCTTGCTCGCTCCGTCTCTCTCCGACTCTTCCTCTCCCCCGGGGATCTTCGCCCCCCGACGCGGCGTATCTCGTTACTTGCCGCTTGGCCGAAGTCTCGAAGACGAGTTCGAAGTCTATCGATCCTCGCGGCGTCGCTTATCGATCACCGCTGGCTCGACTCTTATCTCACGTTCCCCGCTTCGAGGACGGTGCTCGCGCGCGCCGCTGGAATGGCTGAAACACTCCTCCCAGCCAGCACTCGCCGAATCGCGATAAAGCGGAGCAACGTGCGAGGAGTTGGCGCGGCACTTTGTATCACTACGAGTGCTGTGTACACAATCCGTCATTAATATTTACTGCAGCGAGAGCCCCAATAGTGCCTTTCGCCACCTCCGATCAGGGTACCTTCGGCTCCACCGCGCTGCGGCCGCGCTGTGTTTCGCGCGACGTCGACGGGGAATTCTGCCATTGGCAGATACATTTTCTTGCCGGCCGAGGGACCGAGGGACTCGCGCGAAAAGTAACGGACTATCTTTCCGTCCACGATTGTGTACGTTCAACGGTCTCAACGCTTTCCTTGGGGTGCAGTTCGAGGTGCAGCGGTTGCTCGGTGAGAGAACTTGACTCGTCGGGGGGCATTTTTCAGAGACGACTTCTCTCCCACCGGACCATCGCGTCGGCTGCGCCCCCCCCCCCCCGAGCGCCGTGTCCGAGGAAAGCGTTTCGAGATTCGGGATTTCGGAAAAGCGACCGGTCGATATCTCTCGCCGGCAGTCGCGCATAATACGACGACGGGGAGAAAAAGCGGAACCTTACGATCCGCCCTATTATTCTTCGTTCGCCTCTCGGAGACGAATGGAGGTCGAACGGGCTGCGAGGGATAAGTAATTCCGCCGATGCCTCTTCCGCCCGTCCAACGGGAGAGTCGTTTTATTTAATCGCGAAGGAGAGGAAGGAATTCAGTCAGTTCTCTCCTACCTACCCTTCAACGGTCGACCGCCCCCTCCCACCTGTCTCGGCCGCAAGAAATCCCTCGTTGCCGATACTTCGCTGGAAAATCCATCGAAGAGGTGGAATCGTGCCGCCGCGCGGCCCGTAAAAATCGTCGTCGACGAATAAATCCCCCGATATCTCCGTAATCGGATTAACCGCGCGACGAGCGAGCGGATCGCATCGTGCGTCGATAAGGTCGACGTCGATACAAAAACGAGAGAGCAAGAGAGAGGGAGAGGGGGAGAGAGGGGGAGAGAGAGAGAGAGAGAGAGAGAGAGAGAGAGAGAATGAGAGAGAATGAGAGTGGTGGACGGGATAGAAAAAGAAAGCGTAAAACGCCGCGTGCTAGTCGAGCGAGACTTGGTTAAAAGCGTCTCTAACCGTATCGTACCTCATCGTCTGTTGCAGAGGAACTCGATATCGCCGGCCGAGCGTGAGAAGTACAACAGGCCCCGCAGCACGCCGGATCCGCAGCATCACGAGCACCTGCATCTGAAGAAGATGAAGAAGGAGCAGGACAAGGACATAGGCCATGTAGGTATCCAAGATGGTGTTCCATGGCGCGCGATCAGCTATTCGCCTTAATAAAGCCGTGCACGTTCTCTCCGGTAGCAAAGCGACGGTGAAAAGAGCGACCAGGACCTGGTGGTGGACGACGCGAGCGAAGGTCCGACCAGCCCGGCGGCGAACGGCACCTCCTCCCCGCGGGAGAACGGCCTTGACAAACTCGGCCCGTCCTCGGTGCCTCTGAGCGGCCAGGTGAAGAAGGAGGTGCCGCCGCCGTCACCGAGGAGCGGCACCAGCAGCAACGCCAGCACCCCGTCGGCGAAGAAGATGGAGGAGCGCGAGAAGCCGACCACGCCGATCTCCAAGCCGGTCACACCGACGTCTGCCGGTATGTCTTGCGTTAGCTCGGACTTGTCCGATTGCTCTTTCGCTTCTCGTACGGACGACGAAGCGGAGCGACAATACGCAGAGAGAACCATCAGCCGAATAATCGCGCCGACTGGCCATGGCGTAGGTGGCAGTAGCTCCGGCTCGGGTGGCCTGAAGCCGTCGAGTTCCAGCAAACCGCTGGTCTCGGCCTCCGTGGTCGGTTCTTATCCGCCGCATTATCCACCGCATCACCCGCCAGCGGGTCCCCATGTGGACATGCTAGGCTATCCCCCAGCGGCGCTCAACGGCTACCCGGCGAGACCGCCACTTCAGCAGCTCTACGATCCCCACGCCAGCATGAGAGCGCCTCTCGGCCCGCTCGGTGTTCCAGGTGGCAAACCGTGAGTATCTCTTTCCGCCTTTCTGTCTTTCTCGCTTCGAGTGTGCAACGGTAATTTTTACAGAGTCCTTTACTTCATTCCATGGATGTAAAATTCTTTAACTATTGAGAAATTGAGAAATGTAAAAAAGAACAATGGACGATGAGAGGTTTGACCCTGCCCAGTGTGTAGAGAAGAGATGGATTGACGCCGTATGAGAAGAATCTGAACACTTCACGCGATGCAGTTTGACAAGCCGTTGATTTTGTTGACCGAACTTGACTCGATGCTTGATGTCGCACGATATGGCAACCCAGTCGCTCGATCGTCTAAACCTCGCATCCTTTATTTTCAATATATGATTATGCTGATTTCAAAGAACTCGATATTTTCCGTTCTAAAGAGTTTCCAGTACTGCCATCCTTGATTACAATTTACCTACGAGAATTCTGATCCAACGATACAGAATCTCTCCTAGGTTTATCAGCCAATACTGATATAGGACACTGAGATGTTGCGTAATATTTACTTTCCGCTATTGGATTTTACGTAAGAAATGTTTGCTCTCGTCCGATATATTCTCGTTTCTCTTCAATTTTCGCTCGCTCGTTCATATGCTTTCGTAAAACGGATTCTACATCTGCCACTGACGCAATTTTATTCTTGTCCTTCTTACAATTGAACGTCGCGTCGTTGGTAAGTCTTGTCGCTACGTTACATTATTATATAATACGCCAAATTTGTCAATTTTTATTAAAACATCTCCACCGTATTATTATACAAACAGCGATGTGCCGTAACGACCGTCTCTTTCTTGGGAATCCTGAAAATGATTAACAAATCCTGGGAAAGTACACGATGATATCACACTATATATGTAAATATATGCAAATTGGACCTACAATTTGACTGTGTTATTGTGCGTCGTTCTTTTCATGCGCCGTCTCGTTTGCTCTCTGTCGTCGAAAACTTGTAACCTCTTCAAGTATTACCAGTAATCCCAAGCTTGAAGGCGGACCGCCGAGCGAGGGGGAGAGAAACTCGCGAGAGAATCCCGCTGTGACTGATTTGTTTTTCGTCCTGCGTTGCAGAGCGTACAGCTTCCACGTGTCTAGCGAAGGTCAGATGCAGCCGGTGCCTTTCCCACCCGACGCTCTAGCGGCTCCCGGGATACCGCGTCATGCGCGTCAGATAAACACGCTCACCCACGGGGAAGTAGTCTGCGCGGTGACGATCTCGAACCCGACCAAGTACGTTTACACCGGCGGCAAGGGCTGCGTCAAGGTGTGGGACATCAGCCAGGGTGGTAGCGGCAGCGCGAAGCCCGTTTCGCAGCTGGATTGCCTGCAACGGGACAACTACATTAGGTCGGTGGTAACACGTGTCTTCATTCGTATTCGTGACACATTAACTCCCAAATGCTATACGGTCGATGTAATTAATTTCCGACTGAATTCTGGATGACATTTAGTCGTGTCCGCCGGCTGTATATCATGCCGGAGCAGCGACGCGCATCGATTTACCGCACGCATTTTCCGTATGCATTTACCCCTTCCTCCTCCCCCCTCCTCCTCCTCCCCCCCTCCTCCTCCTCCTCCTCCTCCTCCTCCTCCTCCTCCTCCTCCTCCTCCTCCTCCTCCTCCTCCTCCTCCTCCTCCTCCTCCTCATCCTCGTTCTCTCTTGCCGTCCCTTCCCACCGCCAGTGCTACCACCACCGTCGGCCGGCAGCTCCCCTGCGCGCTCGCAGCGTGCGGGAACGTAATAATTATTTAAAAGCGCGCATAAGTGGCGGGCATTTAACGGGATTAATGTAACGATCGTGTCGTTCGTTAACCAGGTCGGTGAAGCTGTTGCCGGATGGACGGACCCTGATAGTCGGCGGCGAAGCGAGTAACCTGAGCATCTGGGACCTAGCCAGCCCGACTCCGAGGATCAAGGCGGAATTAACGTCGTCGGCGCCGGCCTGCTACGCCCTGGCGATCTCGCCGGACTCCAAGGTCTGCTTCAGCTGCTGCAGCGACGGCAACATTGCCGTCTGGGACTTGCAGAATCAGACGTTGGTGCGCCAGTTCCAAGGCCACACGGACGGCGCCTCCTGCATCGACATCTCCGCCGACGGCTCGAAGCTGTGGACCGGCGGCCTCGACAACACCGTGCGCTCGTGGGACCTGCGGGAGGGCAGGCAGCTGCAGCAGCACGACTTCACCTCGCAGATTTTCTCGCTCGGCTATTGCCCTACCGGCGAATGGCTGGCGGTGGGTATGGAGAACTCGAACGTCGAGGTGCTCCACGCCACCAAGCCGGACAAGTATCAGCTGCACCTGCACGAGTCCTGCGTGCTCTCGCTGCGCTTCGCCTCGTGCGGCAAGTGGTTCGTCTCTACCGGCAAGGATAACCTGCTGAACGCGTGGCGCACGCCATACGGCGCCTCGATATTCCAGGTGGGTTGTGATGGATCGATGATTATTGTCGTGAATCTTATTCCGCGGGCTGGCCGTCAATAACCGCTTCGGTACTGATTCTCCCTTGTTTTTCTCATTTTTTCGCAGTCGAAAGAGTCGTCGTCGGTGCTGAGCTGCGATATTTCCACCGACGACAAGTACATCGTGACAGGATCCGGCGACAAGAAAGCCACCGTCTACGAAGTGATATATTGAGCCATCGACTCGACGGTGTACTCGAATACTCGTGCAACGTCGACCGTATCAAGTTTTTTCTGACTCACTTACGTGTGACCTGACTCGCTAAAATACAGTGGGATCGGAGGGGATGGAGATTCACCGTCTCTCTTTCGCGCGAATCCCCGAATCCACTTCGTTTGTAAAACGAATGAGGATACTACGCGAGTCTCGCGGACACAACTACCACCGGACTTTCGGTCGCTATGGACCCGAGAGAGGTAGAATAGGAGAGAGATAGAAGGGGAAAGAAAGCGAGAGAGAGAGAGAGAGGGAGAGAGAGAAAGACGAAAACGAATCCCTCTCACACACTCCCTGTGCAACATGCGGGAGCCACCAGTGATCGAATTAGTGTGAATTGCGGAAATAGAGATATATTTGAAAAGAAAACAGAGGAATATATGAGACGACGCAGGGCGTGTTAGTTGCGTAAAATTGTATAGAGCCTATGAGCCACGTGTGTGACTAGAACAAGAGACACAAACGGGATAGCGATGGGAGAGGAAGAATGAGAGAGAGAGGGAGAGAGAGAGAGAGAGAGAGAATGAGTGAGTGAATGAAAAAGAGAGAGAGAAAAAGATAGACGCATGTGTATGAGGTCGCACCCCCCGGACTGTACTATCGCGCCGGAGGTCGACACGAGGTCGCTTGTGTAATATGTTATATAGAATCTTGGAGATCGTAGACTTGCGTACGTACGCATGTCCGGGAGAAACGAAGCCGGGGTGTTCCGACGAGGAGTCGAGTGCGCGCATTTTCGTCGCGAGTGCCGGAGCGCGCGCGAGCATCGTCGATGCTGGTCAATGATGTGATGCGAACGACGCCGCGGCGAAAACACCTGAACACGTGTGTGGAACGCTGATGATCTAGTGCCGTAGACCTGTCAAAGTAGGGATGTATGTTGTGTCGCAGAATTATACACATAATATATTGAGCACACACGGAAAGAAAGACATCTCCACACACGCATGCATACACACACACACACACACACACACACACACACATACACACACAGAGAGAGAGAGAGAGAGACACAAACACGTAGACAGAACCGTCGTTTGCCGTCAAATAGCGACGGTAAAACTAGGGCTATGAAGAAACCGATAAGAAGCATCGATCACGCTGGACGAAAGAGCCGACGTAAATGCTGATCTTTGACATTTCTACCACCGACACGAGGAGCATATAATTTGTACTTATCGCTTTGATTTTTAATTACGATTCTTTCATAATTATATATACATATATATATATATATATGGCACTGTTGCGTCTGCCGTTAAGACTTTATTGTAATTGAGATTTTATAAATGGGTCGTGCGCGGAGCTAGGGAGAGATAGAAAGAGATCGCGAGGCGGGACAGTGATAAACGCGAAGAAAGAGAGAGAGAGAGAGAGAAAGAGAGGGAGAATGCTCACCGGTCTTGCGTGTTTGGACCGAGATTTATGCGCGAGTAATTAGAGAAATCTGGCTTTCATACGCCTGTTGTACGAACGGTAAACCAGATCGGTAATGAATATCTCGACGCGTAGAAAGAGAAAAGAGAGAAGGAGAGAGTTGGGAGCTCTCTTTCTCTCCTTCTCTCTCACTACACAGTTGTGCGCGGAAACTTACCGCGCCGCGCTTCTTTCTTGATACACATAACACAGTGTACATCGTTTGCGAGTACTCGACTGCCATAATAGGCATACATTACTACGCACACGCATACGCGTAATATACGCGAGCGGACCACGTACGTGGGCGGATTTTGCAGAATATTCAATAAAGTATTTTTGTGACTACTCATCGTGACCCTAGGCTTATATAAAAGAAAAAAAACATAAGGAAAAAAAAACACCACCGAGAAAAGCGATCCTGTCGAAGCGCGCGCGCGCGTGCGCGTCTGCATCCGTTGCAGATCGACGAGGAGATGAAAAATGAGAAAGAGAGAAGGGAGAAAAGGGAATAAAATACAAAAAAAAAAAATTGAAAAGAAGGAAAAGAAACGGTGAAACACTTGACTCTTTAAAACGCTGCCGCTCTCTTCGGTGCGGCGAAGACGGAGGTGCGTCAAATGGACTTTAGGGTACCATAGCTAGCGCCATTATTATTATTCGGAACCGTATGGTGAAAGCGGGTGATGCGTAATGGAGATTTATATTTTGTTACAGGAAGGCACACACACGTTGACACCGCTGTGATCGTCCGAAATTCAAATGCCATATATACTGCCGCGATTGAAAGAAAGACAAAAGCGAGTGTGAGAGAACGTAAATAAAAACGGAAACGGGGAGAACTTTGCGCGCGATACACACAGACGGGAGTCGCGACATAAGACGCGGTCGGAGAGAACGCCATACACTTTTATGCACGCAGGTACGCACGACGAACGAACGAACGAACGAACGAACGAACGAACGAACGAACGAACGAACGGGCGGACAAACGAATAGACCGATTTCGGACGCGGACGAAAGAACGGACAAACGAACAAACGCACGCACGCATGCATGCACATACGCTTGCACGCACGCACGCACGCACGCACGCGATTGCGAAATAGACGACGCGATTTTGGACGAGCACAGCTCCGGATCATATAGACCAATAGTAACAACGATACCTCAAGAAGACTCAATAGTTAATTATCTCTAAACTCAATCGACTTGTACAGAATCGAGATATTCTTTTACAGCGAAGTAAACGTACACTCTCTCACACACATTCACACACACACACACACACACACACACACACACACACACACATATACACGCACCGTGGGCAAAAGGAAGAAAAAAGAGACGTGGGAAGAGGAAGAGAAAAGAGTAACACAGAAAACACTGCGCGCGACGAAAAAGATCGCCACATTGCCGCGACGATTGATTGTGCCCCATTCTCCCCATTTTTCCATTCCCTCCCGCCCTCTTCCAAGCCAAATCCCGCAATCCAATCGGCAACCCCTCTCCTCCCCCCTCCCCGTAATAAAGGTGTACCGTTGTGTACACGTCGAACTGCGTCTCCGTGCTCGCATTTTGCACTCCGCGAAAGCGTACGAAAGCCGTGGATAAGAGAAAATAATACGTTCGTAATAAACGGAAGACAGCGTTAATCTTTTTCCAAGCACTGTTCAAGTTGTTCCTATAGCTACGCGAAAAAAAATTGTTTCTTTCGGCAATTAAATCCTCTATATCTATATATACAAGGATCTATATATCTCAACGTGATTATTTTCGCCAGCCCGTCTCCCCCGATCCCGCAAAGTCGTGTGTTTTAGCGTGATTCGAAACGCTTGTGTACCGCACAAACCGACAAAATCGAAATCCAATTTGGCTGAAAACTCTTCATATTTTTTTCTTTCTTTCTTCTTGTTTAGATTATCCATTATCTTCTCGATATTTTCAAATCGCGTTGGCTCCCAAGAGGCATTTTATTTTGTCACGTACACATCACGTATAAAAATTGTAAAATTACTTTTCCCGATCGCAAACAGATAAAATTCTGCACTCTGTAATTTAGAATATGATGACTCTATAAGGTAGTCCGAGAAGCATTTTATAGCTCGAAGCCTTCACTTTTCAGATATATTTAGATGTAATGTTTGATTATTTCTTATGATGTTGCAGGAATATAAATCGAGATATGCGTCATGTAAAAATGTTTAGCGAAGTTTGTCTAATTGCACCATGTAAACGAAACATTGCGTAAAGAGGACGTGCATACCGACCGTTCAAACGCGCGGACTTTGCTCTTTAATTTGGGTGCTCACAAACTGCGATATGACTTCTTGTCACCAGGTTATTCAATGTTGAAACGAAAATGGCATTTTGACTGATCACGAAGGGAAAACAAATTGACGTGAAACGCTCGTGAATAAATGCATAGAAAGCTTAATATTTACTCTTTGAGATGTATTTTTCATATTTTTGGAGAAAATTTTCGATATGTAAAAACAATACTGAAGGTTGAAGACAAAGATTGAATTTTCGCTATTATTCACATAACTCGTTTCTATCCTGGCAAAGAAAGATTATTAATATTTTCATAAACTACAAATTTCAAAACACAAAATGCTCTTCGAAACACCTGGATATTGTCATTTTTACAGCCAACTTTACAGCCTGTTGAATTTTATCTATTCTTCAGCACAGAATGAAAGAGTGACTGACCTGCACAATTGTATTATTTGGGAAATTAAAATACGGCTGACTTATTGTCGAGTCATATTATAATCTCGATTCTTTACAAAAATTGGTAGCGACTCGTAACGGAAGCTTCAGAATTAAAAATTAGATGAAAAGGTTTCAAATTATATTTATTTAAGATTCGAACTATTCTTTGTTGAGACTCGAAGCTTTTCGAGAACAAATTGTTCTCTAACATTAAAACAAAAATCAAAATAATTAAGGTTCAAAATAGTTAAGTCCAAAAAATGGGCCAAGAAGATATATTAATTTTCTATAATCAAAATTTTGAAATTATTGATTATCGATTAACTTGAACTTTTTTGATAGTGGGCTTTACCTACTGCTGGTAAATGTCTCTAGAAAATTTGTACACAAGATTAAAATATCAGCGTAATTTAACAAATTTAACTTGTACGCACATACGCGTGCAACTTCTTCAATATCGCATTGCAATAATTCGGCAATGTTCGGTCGTGAGAATAAAGTTGCGCATGCGCACTAAGTAGTTCTCAGTAACGTATATACTTTGATCAAATATGAGAGATTGCGTTCCTCAGCGAGACCTCAGCGAGGGCCAGGACTGCCGAGATAGAAAATTTCTGACATTTTAAAATTGTAATTAATTTATCGCTTTCGCATTTTTCTATGACACTTTTAATCAATTGTATACATATGCAACCGGCCTGACATCGAGCTGTAACCGGGTGGACACGCACACCGTGTGGATACGGCACGCTTGCCAGACGGCGGATGTTGGTTAGGGGATATCGCGGTAACCAATCAACGTCTCACATGCCGTATATTTGTGAATACTGTTTCTGCGTAAGTAAGATGCTGAATGGCTGGCTGTCGCAGTTATTCAGTATCCCGGCGGCTATTCCCTAGCGGCGTGATAAGCGTACCGGTACCGCGTCTTGTGTGTTCAATCGGCTTGAGAGTACGAGAGTGCGCATGAAGGCTCACATATGGAGAAAATTGCCGCGGTTGAGCATCGTTGATGCTGGGCATCACTGCTGCAGTGCTCATCAGCAGGTTATGTCAGATTATCCAACAGTGGCAAGTTGGTTGACGTACGTTTTACGAATAAAGTGATAAGAAACAGAAGCTTCCAAGATGAATATGTCAGTGGAGAAGAGAAAATGCCCGTCGGCTTTGCCGATCAATTGGCCTTCGCGGGAAGAACCATCGAGGAAAAGCCAGAACCAGTTGGCGTCATCGGGCAAAGTGGACGTTTATTTTTACAAGTACGTTGAATAACATTATCTCTCGAAGCAGCCTTACATATTACGTCCTGTTAAACTGATCGATCGATGAATTCTCCGCATGTTTGTCAGGCCAGGCAAATTCTCGCGACTCAGCACGGTTTGAGATGTAGGGACGCTCCTAACCTCTACGACGAGAGCGCGTTAACCTCAAAACTAACGACGCTCCTTTCGTATTTCAGCCGAGGGAGAAGCGACGCGACCTTAGTACCACCAATCAGACAAACCGCATCGATTTTTAAACAACCGGTGACCATTTACAAGATGCAGGAAGGCAAAGTGAAAGACGTGAAGCAGAACAATACGGAGAAACCGAAGCAGGTTAGTTGACGCGTTGCTCACTGTTGCAATCCGTGCAGTCCGAACTGTCATGGTCAATGTTTCGTCAATAAATCGAAACTTGTCGCACTGTACCGTACATCCCACGCTGTTCTCACGACACTGCTATCAAATGACACCTCAGTAGTGTTGCACACGCATCATCCATATAAATACACCTATGGGTATCCCCTTATAATTCTAATGTTCTTTGTTACCTGTCCTTGTAAATTTACGTGATACAACTGTTGAAATCATTGCTTTAGGAAGGAAGCGAAAAATCTGATGGCAAATATGGTTCCCAAGATAAGCCTAAGCAGGTAACTCCACCCATGCTCATCACGACATCGTCAATAATTTTGTTTCTTCCGTTATGTGTTTTTTGCGTTAGTGACATTGATGTGCCATCGTCTATTTAAAGGACAGATGAAGAAGGTGGAACTTTCTAATTATCGTCATCCTGGTTTTCATTTTGAGTTGATTATAAGTCTCTTGATGTGTATTAGAAGTTTGTTTATTATATAGATATATATACACACATATAAACATGTATATATGTACAGTAAGAACAAGACTCTCAATCTCAGATTTTATGTTTTTCATATACTACATAGGTATGACCATTTGTGTGCTTTCTCTCTCTCTCTCTCTCTCTCCCTCTCTCTCTCTCTCTCTCCCTCTCTCTCTCCCCCCTCTATCTCTCTCTCTCTCTCTCTCTCTCTCTCTCTGTCTGTCTCTCTCTGTCTCTCTCTCTTTTGGCTTGTGTCGTTTAATTAGTAGATTAGCGTGCGCGAATAACGCTATCGATAATTTATCACTAACCAATGTTGTGATCTTTCAGCTGTTCTGGGAGAAACGTTTAGAGAGACTGCGAGCCTGTGATCCCAACGGCTACGAATTCGATGCGATGGACCTGCCAAAGAACTTGAAGCCAGTTGGGCCGAATATCACGGAAGAGACCCTGCTGCAGAGTGTGGCTACTGCTTTGCACGTCTCTACTAATGCAGTCACGGGACAAACAGGCCCAAAAGCAGCCCTTGAGAAGAATCCTGGTGTGTTTCTTAATCCGGATCAACCACTCGTACAGGTAAAAATGCAGAATAAACGTTAATCCGCAAGAGAAGCTCGTTTTATAGAAAGAGAAAGAGAGAGAGAGAGAGAGAGAGAGAGAGAGAGAGAGAGAGAGAGAGAGAGCTTATAACATCGCATCAACCGAGTAATCGCATTCATCCGTTTCAGGCGGTCTCGATAGCAGACGAGGATCTCAAAAGACAAGAGGAGCGTGTGGCTCTTGCAAGGAAAAAATTGCAAGACGCCCTACGTGCTTTTCAGACTTAAACTGTATGCATCGTCATTCATTGTTATTCGCCGTCATCCTTTAATTTTTAATTTAAGATTTAAGTTAAGCTCGTAAATTATGTCGCATCATTTTTGTAATAAATGTTTTTTGTAAAGAAAAAGGTTTGACCCAGAAGCGATCGTTTTGTGCGTGGCGTCGCCCATTCACAAAAATTTCTTTTCACAAAGTTTCGTAGCACGGAATTTTTAATGGTCGAATGAAAGTGTGCGTTGCACGGCACGATTTTTCGACGAAACCTGTCAGCTCTGCGTATTGACTCGGGAACAATCGCCGTTATTCGTACGCGTTTCGCACATCACGTAGTAACACTTTTCTCATTGTTTCCTGTCACAGCTGAAAAAAGTTTGACCCAACTTACGGCCGTCACGGAAATCCCGAATTTCCTCGGACCTGTCAGACATTCGAACGATCGAAAACAATAGAAAAGCACGTCCGTGAATGGTGTCGTGCGGAAATACAGCGTGCCTTAACATTCCTGTCATCGTAGAAGAAACTATTCGAAATAATCGCGTCGCAAACAATGACGACGTGACTCGCACTCGATTCGTCGTCGCTCGCCAACGACGGCCGACACAACAGCCGACCCTGGCCGTCTCCCGCCGTCGAATGAATCGGGAATCGAGTTTGGCAAATCGACCACATTAATTATGCAAATCGCCGCGCTCATGGTCCCACGCACCACCCCGCGACGCAGCGAGCGACCGCAGCGAGCGTGGAGAATCGACCGGCCTTGAAATATCACCTCGAATTCGAGCGTGCAGCGTCGTCGCGGGAAATAACCTCGGGACAATAAAAGCTCGTTTTCTCCGCCGGCAAAACCTTCGACAGCACGGCCGGACGGAACGATTCGCGCGCTCGAGAGCCCTTCGGCGAGTCCTTCAGCGAGGACTCTGCCGAGGACTCTTGTCGAACTTTTCCTCCGAGGAGATCCCTCAGGTCAATTCCCAAAACTGCTCGCTCTCATTCTCACTCTCTTCCTCTCCATCTTTCTGCCTCTGTCCTGCTTCCTCTCTTTCAGCGCACAGTTTTTGAAGTCGCGCGCATTGTGTGACCCGGAGGTGCTGCAGTTGTGTATCCGCGAGGCCGCACGGCCCGCTGGGAATGGGTGCGTGTACAAAAGAATGCTCGGGCAGGTATACAGGCGTCGGTTTTCAGCCGAGCATAAGCCAGGTGGTAACCTCTTTTTTTTCCCGGCATCCCGCTTCTCTGCCCTCTCTCCCTTCTTTTCCCCGCAGTCTCTACCCGTCTCTCGCCCTGCGGCCCGAAGCCTCTCCACCTCCAACCAACAGCTGTTTCCCTCGGCAAGGGTCGCTCTCCCTTATTGTCAACCAGACGGAGAGAGTGAAGAAGAAAAAAGACAGAGAGAGAGAGAGAGAGAGAGAGAGAGAGCTGTCTTCTCCCCGCAACAACACGGCACATATCCCAGTTTAAATCGTTATAACTCGTCGAACACATGACTCTACGACGACGACGGCGACGGTGATCCATCCGGCCTAATCGGTGCGGCCGGTAGTATCGTGGGTAACGACGACGCGAATCATCGTCAATGGGAATTCACAGCGGCCTGCCGCCGCCGCCGCCGCCGCCGCCGCTGCCGCCGCCGCCGCCGCCGCCGCCGCCGCCTGCTGCATCCTGAACCCTGAGCTCTCGCGGATCAATAGCGCTACCGCAGATTCTTGTAATAATTTATGCGTCGCGGAGGCAACATCCGGTTCGCGGATGAGGGGGGAAGAAGAAAGAGAGAGAGAGAGAGAGAGAGAGAGAGAGAGAGAGAGAGAGAGAGAGAGAGAGAGAGAGAGAGAGAGGAAAGAAAGGGAAAAAGCACGAGACGGCAGATCGCGAGAAACAACGGACGGCGTGTCCCCGTAGCGGTTCTCCGCGTGCATTCAACATAACGAAAGTATCTTCGTGCGATACACGCGACGTTCAGCCGCTGCGGGATCGTGGATGTGTATCGTGGATTTCCACAGGAGGCGGTTCAACTCCCACTGGAATTTCGGCCGCGTATAATAAATGACGTGCATGAATATGAATGCGAATCCGCGTGACGGATGTGATGGAATTGAAATTGCCACGAGACATGAGCCCAGAATAATCTCTCTCACTCTCACTAGCCGCCGCCGCCAGCCGTCGCACGCACACCTGCGCGCATAATTGGCGGGAATTTAAAAAATGTTCTCCCCCCTCTCTCACGCTCGGTCGTCGGCCGTCGCGTTCGTCACGGGATGGACCCGCGTTTGAACGCGAGAACGCGGTAGGCTCGACTTCGCGCGCGCGCGCGCGCGCGCGAAATTTTCCAGCGCGAAACGCAATCGGTGATGGAAAAGCGCGACGCGCCTTCGCGTGTAAAGACCTTATCTGGAACACATCGAAGATTACATCCTGCGCTGTCTCGGGCGGCGCGAGTCGGCGCGTATAAATAGATACTCGGCGGCGCTACACGGCGCGCTATCGATCTTCGCAGGCGGTATTCGACCATCGGAAGTTGACCGACTTGACTATACTATTTGTATCGGGGTTACTGGCCGCCGAGTATCCGCGGATTTATCCGCGGTCACGAAGCGACGCGATTTCGCGCCCGTCCGTCCGTCCGTCCGTCCGTCCGTCCGTCCGTCCCGTTGATTCGTTCCCGCTGTCGCTGTCCGCCGCTCGCGCGATGGTAACTCGAGGTCGACGAATTGCCGAGATGGCTCCTCGTCGCGCCAACGGCAGGAAACGCCGGCGCTGAACTGCCGGCCGAAAGCCGAGAGGCGTTGGTCCAGCGCGGCGCGCGCGGAAGAACAGCTGGGGGACCTTCGACTCCCAACAACTGTGCTGTACGTAATCGATGTCGACAGACTTTCTCTCCCGTGGATCCGCAGGGCAGCGGCGACGAGGGGAGAGGAGGTCGGACGCGCCTACAAGCGCGCTCGTTCAGCCTCTCTTTCCGTTTTCACCGGTGCGCCTCCTCGAAGCGCTCGAAAAACGCGCGCGCGCGCGCGTCCTCGGCTTTTCCGCCGATTTCTTCTCTTCGCTCCGACCGCGAGGCTCCCCGTCGAGGACGGCTCCGCCGTCGATCGACACGTCACGTGACACGCGGAGGAATCGTTCGTGGGGAAAAAAGAGCGGACTTTTAACCTTGCCCGATCTAAACTTTCATCGGTTGCGTAAACGCCTTCCTCGATCGAGCCTTCCTCGTCGCGCGAATTATGCTCGGTTTCCCGACGTGACCCCGCGAGATTTTCCTCGCGTACGCACGCCCACCACGCCGCCGGCGTCAAACGATCGTAGCTATAACAGCGGCAAGCAATCGTCTCTCTGCGATATCCCGGTATTATCCTGTGTAATGGCGAAACAGCTTCCGAAATTCCATCACGGCAGGTAAACAAAGCCGAGTTGAAATGAAGGTTCTACCTGCATTAAGGTTGACCCTGCAGACTCGACGCTTTGCAAGCGTGGAAAATGTGGGGCCATGACGTTCCGGAGGTTACTGTCACTCGGCTTTGTTTATTACCGCTGCGCTTCTTATGGCCGGGACTTGTGAAAAATGCGTAAAGGAAGATTTCTACGAGAATCTAGACTCCACGTGAGTGTTCTTAGAGAATATATTTTCAGAGATACTTCTCCACATGGCGAGTCTTGAGGAGAGAGAAAAAAAAGAAAAGGCTCCGTTCTCTCTTTCAGTCCGGAATTACTTAAATTTCAATTCGGATTTATTTATTTATCTCGACGCTGCATCTGCACTTGATGTTTATTTTTAATTCTAGTCAGCGTTGCATTAATTATACAACTTATTCAGCTGGAAATGGAATACGTGAGATAAGCAAATATATGAGATATTTGATAGAAACAAATAATAGGATTAATAGGCGAGTCAGGCGGTGAGATTTATTTGTAATCTATTTTTGTTGTTCTTTGTGTCGGCCTCGGGAATCTCAATGGACCTCGGAGATATTCAGAGAGGGTGGAGAGAACAGAGTTGTGAAGAGAAAGACGTACTAGTCTTGCATGTATCCGACAATAACGTCGATGAAATTCGGCGTTTTAGTAAAAACAGAAACAAGAGCAAGAAGACAACACACGTGGCACATTCAAGATGAGACTCCGCGGCTCCGCGTGGCCCGCGACAGGACTTATCGATTAGCATTCGCCGGATTTATGGTGAGTTTGAAACTTTGCCGGCCGGCCGGGGATATTTTGATCGTGATCGTTGACGTATGTCGCCATACGTCTCGAGAGTCATCACCGTCGCCGTGCCAATTGTCCTGACACTCTCTCTTCCTCTCTTTCTCGTGTGTCGCGTATTTTTCCGCAAGCGAGCGCTACTTTGCGCCTCGAGCCGGCGCGGCGCGGCGGAGCACGCGCGCGAATTGTCATTCCTGTCGTTTGGCTCTTGAGATATTCAATCGGGCGCTCGCGTTAATTAACTTTATTTAAGATCGCATCGTCACAGCCGGCGCGAGTGGCGGTGCCGCGTGTTGGTGTGTCCGGAGCGGCCGAGATGCCGGACCGGAAAGCCGGCACGGAGTGGGACGCAGGAGACACGTGGTCCCGGCGACGCATCCCGCGTCTCCAGGTGTGTCGAGTCGCTTATTGTACGCGACGCCGCCGATCTTCACGCGAGAAAGGAGAGAAATACTCGAGTCTCGGGATTTAGAATCTAATAAAATCTAAAGAAGAATAGAAAAAATGTAAAAGATGTAACAGCAATCCTTCAGGAACTTCGAGAATCACCTGCGCGTGCGCGCAGGTTTTGTGAAACAGAAATACTAAATGTATAATTTAACAGACATATACGTTATGTAGAGTTCTTAACTCTAACCCCCCTCCCCCCGTTCCCCCTATAAGCCTCGCGAGTGCCGGGATCCGATGGCGGCGATGCTACGCTCGTTGAGCTCCGTGAGCTTCGTTGCAAATCTGCCAAAATCTTCTCGAACGCGTTGATCCTTGTTATCGCGCTGAATTCAAACCCAAACCTTCGTCGGGTCGCAGCACTATCATGTATTTAATGCGCCTTAACGTTATCTTCGTCTTTACAGCTCTATCCTTATCAGCTGTTGTTTGAGAGCTTCGTATTTTATCGAGAATTGCAAACGCGAATAAAAGAGAAATAGGAATA